AATGTCAGACACTGGGGAAAAAGTCCCACTGTGACTCTCCAGAGCCAAAGGTGGCGTCTTCATGTCTTGTTGTGTCCAACCAACAGACCCACAGAGACTCAGCTGATTCTCATGTCTGACAAAGAAAAGCATCAGCTCCTCACATTAAAGAAGGTGGAACCAGAACATGTCGGTGACTGTTGCTTCTAAATAGCTGAGGTTCATTTTCTACCAGGTCACTGAGTGGCTTCATGAGGATGACACAGCGGGTTGGACGCAGTGAGGGAATCTGGTTTGGAAGGAGGAGGTTTCCTCCTCCGACAGAGGAGACCTGACAAGGCTCTGGAGGCTCGGCCCTGACGAGGCCCTGCTGGGGCCTTTGCTACGGTGGCCTGTAGGTGCAATATCCAAATTGTTCTCATCAATGAGAAAAATATGTGCAGATGCAGATTTTTTTAAAATACTCAGCTTGAAAAACAAAAAAGCCGTATATAAAAAAGAAAAACTCAGCTGAGGAAAAAAAGCCTCAAATTTTTAAGGTTCACCTGAAAACATTTTTCATTTTTTTAAAATTAACTTTCATTGACCAAGTATGTTACACACACGCAAGAACTGTCTCCAGTACAGAACCAAGGCAGCCGCCTTGCGATCCTGATATCCCGATAGTCAGGCACTGCTCTGGCTATCGGGAGCAACTTGGGGTTCAGTTTTTTGCCCAACGAGACATGGACTAGGAAGAAAAGGAATCGAACCGCCGACCTACCTGTCGGGGGACTTTCGCTCTGCTTCCCAAGTCACAGCCGCCCCCGTCCTCAGCCTCAAATTAAAATAATGTGGCTAGTGATAAGATGTCTATGGCCTTCCTAAAAATAATCTGCAACTAGTTTGATAACAGAAAAGTCATTTTGAGAAAATGTGTCAATTCTCTGGTTTCAGCTTTTTCAGTGTGAATATTTTTGGACTTAAACTCGACTGTTTATTGGACAAAAGACATTTGAAGACATCACCTTGGGTTTTGGGAAACATTATTGCCCAAACAAAATGATGGTTAGTTTCAGTCTGAATTTACAACAGAGTCAGCACCTAGTCATTTTGCACCTGCAGTCACCGGGGATGGAAACAAGACCTCAGTGTTTACAAAGTCCTGGCTGTGGCCCTGGCGTCAGTGATGTCATCGTGAGTTGTGATAACAGTGAAGTACTCATGTTGCTGTGGTCATGCAGTGATGTTATGAGTCTGTGTGTTTTGCTTGTTCATGTTGTTTTTGTATCTTACTTCCAGAGAAACTGGATGAGATGTTGGCCGGGGCTCAACAGGAAGTTGTTCTGAGGGCTCGGCCATCAGACGACTTCAGAGCAGCGACAGTGAAACAAAGGCCGACCAGCCGACGCATCACACAGGCTGAGATCAATGTAAGACAAGTATTAATTACTGGAACAGTCAAACTAGGGATGCACATTTCAATCAGTTTCCTTCATTGACAGTCAATTTAAGCACGTAGCACGTTTAAAAACATTTTGGCCAAAGTGTTTTACAACACAAGAAATTAATCGATAATTTCACTGAAAACTACAGTCGAATAAAACACAGGGAAGATTAAATTAAACATGAAAAGAGCAGACCAAGTTACTTCTGTCACAAATGACAAAATAATGATGTCATGTAAAGCTGCAGAGATTCAGCCATCTGATCCCGTTCAGCGACTGACCAGACGAAACCCTGACATCAGATCAGACTAAACGTATTGGAGATATCAATCAGCTAAAAGACGACGGGCGGCCGGCGCTAGTCAAGCCACCGGGAGCAATTCGGGGTTCAGTGTCTTGCTCAGGGACACTTAGGCACCCCTAAAACAACATCGGCCAAACCACACAGCCACAGACAACTTCATGCCGTGGAGTTCTGCCGTGGCACAGAAAGCCACGCCGACACTTGCATGACAAGGTGGTGTGTTCATAATCTGTGCAGGCCTTAAGAGCGATTAGCGAACACGGTCTCATTAAACTGCGAGGCGTGCCGCCTTGTGACACAACCAGGTACGGCACATTGTCACAAGCCAAAAGATGGACGTCCATTTCCCCAAACATTGAACTGTTTTGGATGGACCACACCATCACTACTGCAGACCTTCTGCTAGTCGACATCCCTGTTCCGTATCTCATTGAATGGACAAACATACACACAGTGGCTACATGAGACCCACCGTGTTCATAAATAGAGCAGAAAACCCAACTTGCTGGATTTTCATGGGCTTTACACTCAACGTGTGTGTCTGTTGTGTCTGTAGTCCTTGTTTGAGCGCCAGGGTCTGGTCCCCCCCTCGACTCCAGAGAAGAGCACCATGCCGTTACCCAGAGGGATGTCCAGAACCAAGAGTTTTGGTAAGAGACATTATTTTACACACATACGTCTGTATTGTGATACACTGTGTTCATTTTAGCACAATTCTCAAAATAACAGTTAGTTCTAGTCAGGATTTATAATTTGGTTTTTGTCAATAAATGTCATTTTAATTCAGAATTTACACTTACATCTTCTAAGATTATTAAGAATTAAGGTCACACATTCGTGTTTTACTCTTGTGATTCTGCACATGCATTAAAAAACTAATCTTTAGTTTTTATTTGCTGATATTTTATCATAGTTTTTAGGCATTTTTTCATGTACAAAATTAACACAGATTAAAATACTGTTCATCTTTAGTTAATTTTTTCCCCCCAAAATGCTACATTTTATGGTCTATAAAGTGACAGGTATTTGTTGGGTACCTTTTTATTTTAACGTCTCCATGGTTACCACGGCAGGCACACCCGAGGACGACAGGATCACAGCTCTAATAAACGAGAGTCGGTTTCCACGGAGCTCCTCCCTGACAGACAGCTTCATCCCTCCTCCTCCTCAGACAGCCCCACCCCCTCCTCCCTCCGCCTCATCCACCTCCTCAATATTCCTCCTCGACTCCGGGCCTCCTCCCTCCTTTCTACCCCCTCCTCCCCCATCTAGAGGGGAGGGGCTGACCCGATCGAGCTTTAAGCCAGGAGCAGAACCAAGGCTGCAGGAGCTCTCGGATTCGCCATCGAGGAGCCACGCCCATGCCGAGCGGCAGAGGAAGGCAAGGTCTATGATCATCCTGCAGGACACGCCGCCACTGCAGCCCTTGCAGCCGGATGCTCATGCCGTCGCCACGCACACGCTTCACACCCCCACACACACCTCCACGCTATCTCTCCACAGCACCAGCTCTGCCCTCGGACACTCACCGTTGTCACGACGCCGAGGACGACCAATAGAAAACCCTTATGCTAACGTAGGACAGCAGGCCCCGCCCACCAAACCGCAGAGGAGGAAGTCACCTTTGTTGAAACAACTTCCTGTTGAGGAGCAAGGTGAGAACTGTTCACACCTGGTGTCTTTTGGATTTGTATTTGTGTCTAATATCCAACTAGCAAAAGGATTTGATTGGCTTGGAGGCAGAACCAGCCAATTACAGGTTACCAAAGCTCACAGAGACACTGACTGCAGAGAAGTAAAATTAGTAAAACTGAGTAAGAAGGGTTAATGTACACTTTAATGAACACTTTAACTACTTTTCTACATGCTTAGAATGTCCCTGTACATGCTGAGCACAGACAAATATTATGCCACAGTCTCTATTTTATTTTTTTTTTTTTACTTCCAGGACTTGGAATCAAAGATCACGATTCTTCCAAATCAGACGGAGGTGGATCCAGCAACCTCAGCAGGGCGGAGCTGTACCAGCAGCAGGTTCTTTCAGAGCGCGCTCGGGTTCAGGGCCGCAGGTCATCCCTCTTTCTGTCTGTTGAGGGGGCTGGGTCAGAAAACCAGCCTCCGCTCCTCTTGACTCAGAGCCATTCGATGGATGACCTTGGCGAGCTTCCACCTCCTGCCCCAGTCTTATCACCTTCACCGACACCTCACACCTTCCTCCACCCACTGACGGGGAAACCTCTAGGTGAGAGAGTGGTGTCTGCAGCACCAACAATATAATGAAGGATGAAAATCCACCCTCTCCCAACCTGTTTCCCACCTTTAATCTGCTTTTCTCCCTTCAGATCCCTCTTCTCCACTCGCCCTGGCTCTTGCTGCACGAGAACGAGCACTCACCGCCCGTACGCCAAGCCCTGAGCCTCGAATTAAACACACATCTGCTTCCACCACGCCAATCCCTACCCCAGCCGCCAGTCCTGAGGGTAGACACAAGCGGACCCCTATCGCTACCCCGCAGAGCAGCCCTGAGCCGAGGTCCAAGCGCACCACCCCACAGACAAGTCCTGAGCAGCGAACCAAGCGCACCACTCCTCAAACCAGCCCTGAACTGAGGCATAAACGCATAACCCCGCCCCTGTTTCCTGATGGACAGGTGGAGCGTCCAGAAACAGAGGGGGGGGTGACATCTCCAGCCGGCCCTTCCCCTGAGCGCTGGAGACCATCACCCTTGCCTCCGCTGGCCAATGAGAGTCACGCTGCTCTGATCGACAGGCGCAGAAGCCTCACAGTTGGCAGCTCTGAGGAGGAGGGTGGGGCTTACACAGTGACACTCCCACCGGCATTGTTGTCATCCAGTGACGAGGAGACACGGGAGGAGCTCCGCAGAATCGGCCTGGTGACTCCACCACCTGCCTTTGCGAGTCCTCCTGCCGCTCCTCCACCTTCATCACTCGCCCTGTCGCCACGACGAGGTGGGGAGGGTGGGGTAGGAGAGAGTGGCCCTGACTCCCTGGGTAGACAAGCAGAGGAGGAGGAAGGAGGTGATGAGCGGCTCCATGACAATTCCTCCCCTAGCTCCCTCCCTCCCTCCATCACCTTGGCCTCCCCTCCTGCTCCATCCTCTCCTTCCTCCCCACCTGCTGCTCACCCATCTCCCTCATCAGCCTCCACTTCCCCATCAGGTCTCAAGCCTCGCCTTCGTTCGCCAATTGGCCGGGGTCGCTCATCACTTCGGGACCCATTACTGAAGCAATCATCAGACAGCGAGCTCCTCCCCTCTGCTGCATCCTCTTCCTCCCCCTCCTCCCCACTCTGTTCCTCTCCCCCCCCCCCCCCCCCCTCGGTTCCTCTCCCCCCAGTGGCGGTGGCCGCCAGCCACGTTACCTATTCCAGAGGAGGTCTAAGCTGTGGGGGGGAGGGGATGACCGCGGAGAGGAACGGCGAGGCCTCAGTCCAGATGAAGGAGGCCGCCCGGCAGCGCTGGGAGGTCAGGGGTCAGGGTCAGCCATGGATCTGACCAGCCGGTCTGCTTCAGCTGCGGCAGGGCGGGGTCCGGCCTGGATCTGGCCAATCGGCTACAGCTGCTCAACAAAGACAGTCAGACACTGGGGGAGGAGCCGAGCCCACTTGACCCAGGCCGGAGGTCACCGGTAGGAGGCGCCAGGTACACTGAACAAATTTAAATTGCAGTACTGCTGACCTCTGAGCAGTACTGTGTGTGTGTGTGTGTGTGAGCATAACAGGATCTGTTGTTTGTGTTGTTCCAGATGTGTGGACAGTGGCGAGAGTAAATCGTAGGTTTTTAACTTTGGTAAACATTTCTCATTATCGCTAAAATATAGGGGTGTAACAGTCCACGTTCTCATACCAGATTATTTCAGTACAGGTCTTTAGTTACAGTACAGACATGTCCTGAATGCAGTCTTTAATAGTAGCTAACAGTGGGCTTGTTTTGCGTGCAGAACATTTTTTTGAATCTGTGTTCCCGCGTGAACATTAAATGGCAAACTCAGCGCGCTTAGTTTAGTCAAACCTCTGGCTAAGAAATGTCACAAGAAGCCAGAGCCGGAAGATCCTCCCATATCATTAAGGTCTCCTGTTTGCGAACACTTCAGCTTTCTGGTGAAATACAATGGACAAAGATGAGTGAGATAAGATGTTTTATTTGTGTGGATGCTTTACAGCATCCACACTATGCTCTCCCGTTCTTTATTTATTGACAGCATCCACACTATGCTCTCCTGTTCTTTATTTATTATTATTGTATGGATGCTGACAAGCATCCATACTATGTTATCCTGTTTTATATTATTGTGTGGATGCTTCATGAGCATCCACACTATTTTATCCTTTTTCTTTATTATTGTATGGATGCTGAATCAGCATCCCTACTATGTTATCCAATTATTTATTATTATTGTATGGATGCTGATTCAGCATCCAT